CAAGTGCGGATGATGGATGGGTAAAATAGCAAATCAACTGCCTCGTCTCGCTTGGAGTGGCACCTGGCTGACAGGAGAGGACAGCAAGTCCCGCCGCTCCACCTGAAGGCTGGTTATGATTGACAGGAGTGTCAGCCGATTGAAGGGCAGAAGCTGCTGAGCCAGCCAATGGAAGCGCGGGTACCAGACGGAGTTCCGCCCCCCCAGCTCTCAGCGCTGCTCTCACCCTCCTGGGGAGAGTCGCGACTCTTATTGACTTATAGCAATGATGGACAGGAGGCTCCTCCTATGGGGCGTCGAGGAGCCCTGTCGGATAGGGAAGCGGTGCCATTGGAGATCCAAGGAATCGGGGAGAGCGGCGAAGGGTAATGCGGGATGGATTGTTCATTCCCTCAAGGATCTGGATATAGGAATGCCCAGGGATGGGGCGTCAGGGATCCCTGTTCACACAGGATGGGAGTATTCCTCCAAATACCAGGAATTCCACCACCTTTCCCTTTTTTCTGTCCCACATGTGATACATCCTAATTCTTCCCAACTGATTCTCTTTTCCAGACTCGATTCCTTTAATCTTCAGATTCTTCTTTATTTTGCTTTTTTTTCTCCAAAATCAGATTTTTTCTCCCTCAGCCCCCCCTTTTTTTTTTCACCAGAAAAGGCTCAGAACCCTCATTAGTGCATCCACAGGCTCTGTGTTGGTGCTTAAAATCTGTCCCAGTACAGGAAAATTCCTGCCTTTTCCCCCTCAGGTTTCCCGCCCTTTTTCCCCCCCTCACGTTTCCCGCCCTTTTTCCCCCTCAGTGCTCCCAGTGTCCCCTGCCTGGCACTCAGTAACCCTCAGTGCCACCCAGTTTCTTCCAATGATTCCCCAGGAGCATCTCCCACCTCCTTCCCAGCCCTTTTTTCCACCACAAGTAAGGATTTGGGACAAATTTGTGATTTTGCTTGGAGTCACACATATTATTGAGGATTGTTTCAGGGGCTTTGGGGTTTTTTGGGGGGTG